AGTATGGGGACCGGTGATCCCCAGCTGCCGTCTGGACCCACCACCAAGGTCTTGTTGCTTCCTCTCATCATGACACCGATATACTGCTACAGTCTTCTGGAGCCGGGGAGAACCCCACTACTGGACAGCCAATGTAAACTGTCCACATCACCAATGGCGGAGACGCGGGCCCCCAGTTAAGGTTTGTCCTACTCTGCAAACATAGGACCCGGTGTATCACGTGACCGCAGATTTAGGTGACTATTTGGGGGTTTTAGGTTCATTTTTAAAAATTAATTACTGCAGTAAATAGCAATATGGGGGTGGGGCTATTGTATGTGGGTTACTGGTCAGGGAAGAGCTTTAAAGTGTATCTACACCCAAAAACTTCCTGTTACAGATTTTCCATCACTTCCTGTCTAGTAAAATGTTATTCACAGATCAGGAAGTGAGGGTAAATCTCTGACGAAGTCAAACCTGACAGCGGGTTCTAACCTTTCCCCATCCTATCCAAAACTAAAGGTTAGATACACTATAAAGCTCCTCTCCGACCCTGAACCCACAAACAATACCTGCACCCCCATATTGTGGCATCACAAGGGGGGGGGGGTGGCCCGCACCCAGGTGCCACCATTGGAGGGGTGACACCTAAATGAATGGCAATCATTTTGGTGTCACCCCCTATGAAAAGTCGGGCACTCGGTCATGGACCGAGAGCCCGACAGTGTCATGAGTGAGGAGGGGACCCGGCGGCATACCTCATCCCGCCGGGTGAACTTCCCCTCCTCACCAAGGTGGCCGCCGGCAGGAGTCAATAAGACGACCGCTCATGCGCAACGCCCCTGCCAATCGCTGCAGTAATTAAAGAAAAAATCATCTGAAACCCCCAAATACCCAATTATTAGCAACCTGTCTACTGCAGTTCAGGGTTCCTCATTCTCTGACAGTACAGTACCACCATTGCCGTGCCACCGTCCAACACAAGGCCTGGGAGGTGTGTGCGTGGGATGGACTCCTTAAACTGTGCAGCCAAAACTTTTTTGTAGGACCCCTGTAGTGTTTTTGTAGTTGCCCGGGACTCCCCCAGACAGATTTCCTCTGCCGTAGCCAAACGAGCGCAGAGTGTGCATGATGAGCTGTTTTGACATCTGAACCCTGAAATGCTCAGAGCTGTGAGCACTTCGGGGTTCACACCCTTTAGAGGAGATCGAGGAACAGATGCTACTTGATGCCCTTCCGCTCGCCTTCCTCACAGTTTTTATGTGGTGCCAGGCAAGGGCGTAACTAGAAATCACAGGGCCCCATAGCAAAATTTTGTATGGGGCCCTGTGATTTCTAGTTATCCCCCTTGCAGAGCCCCACCTGATATACCAAACAGCCCCCCTGAGAGTGACCCTGCAGAGCCCGCCAGAGACTCTCTACGGCGGGCTCTGCAGGGTCTCAGGTGGTTACCTGTCAGCGCGGTCTGCCTCCGTGGTCGCCGGGCCCCGCCTCCTCTTTCATCATCGTCGGGCCCCGTCTTCTCCTCTATCGATGGGCCCCGCCTCCTCTTACATCACTTGCCCCTCCTGCTCTCGGGTCGCCGGGCCGGGCCCCACCTTCTCCTTCACTGCAGTCGCTGGGTCCAGTCTCTTCTGCAGCAGCTGCTGGCTGTCACTGACACAGCTCAGCAGCGGCTGTGAGGTACAACCGCCGCTGCACACATCACAGGTTGTCAGTGACCTAACAGCGCCGCGTTCCTATTGACAGCCAGCACCCTGATATGCCATAGCGACCCAGGTGGCCCGCACGGCATCAGAGGGATGCCCTCTCCGGCCCCCCCTGTGCCCCATAGGGGCCGCCTGGGTCGCTACGGCCATTGTTACGCCACTGGTCCCAGGCTCCCAGGAGGAGCGGGAGAGCCTGGGAACCACAAAGGGGTGGGGTCTATAGCGGGGGAAAGCATCACTGCCAAGCTCATGGCTCCAGATAAGATATAGGACAGACCAGAAGGCTGAAGTGGTTAAACATCCTCCAAAAGAAAGATCTGTCTCAATAAACAATGATATAAAATGAATTTGGATACAATGTTGCATGACAGAGTGACTGTCAGTCAAACTGATACGTTGTTACTGGTGACGGGCAGAAGAGACGCGGTGAAATCTTTCCAGATACAGCTGGCAGGCCCGTACTGGTGGCGCCCGGTATCATGGACCTCTCCCGGTGACAGATCATACATGACACATACTTCAGGCTGGTCGGGGGAGGACCACGGAGTTAGAAAATGAGGTTTAATGAATTCACTCCGGACAGAAATATTCTGCCACTGAATTCATTTATATGCAAAGTCCTTATTCCTGGAATCTGAAAGCCATGAAAATACAGACTGGTGTGTTCCCTGCTTCTAAGCTCCGCCCTCTGTAGTCTTCATAGGGTGAGGCTGCACAGCACCGAGTCATGTGACAGGCTGCTGCAGACCTACCTGGAAGGATTGTGAAAATGTTACTGAATCAGGCTGTCCTCTTTATTGTGACAAGATTGGTATGTCAGTAGTGATGCCGGGCACACGCCACTGCTTGGGGGACATCTGGTGGCCTCTGCAGCTCATGGATGGATGGATGGCGGTTGTTGAGGGTAACTGGTAGGTCAGAGCACAATAATACTTTGGTACATGTTCAATTAATGGCAAGCAAACCCTTCACTTAGAGTCCAAGTGTACCGGGCTGGGTTCTTTCCATACCACCTGATTCTCTATGTCACCTTCAAATGCAGTATGGGTGACGGCGCGAGCAGTGCTTTTCACTGTGCCTCCAGGAGCGCACTCTTTGGGGTGCATTTATACAGTGGCATCACAAGGGGGGTGCGGCCAGCACCTGGGTGACACCATTGGAGGGGTGTCACCCCCTCTGTAAAGTCTGGCACTTGGTCATGGACCGAGCGCCCAACAGTTTTGGAAGAGAGGAAGGGACCCGGCGGCATACCTCATCCCGCCGGGTGACTGTCCCCTCTGCTGGCGTCCATCACCGAGATTGCCGCTGGCAGGTATCCATAAGACCGCCACGCATGCGTGCAGTGACGTCACGGCAGGGTGTCACCCGGTAACTGCTCCGGGTGACACCCGGCCTCGGGATGCCCCTGCATTTATAAACAATTTGCTGAGCCATTCATCCTGTGAAACTCTGTGAACGTTCATTGTGTGTGAATGGAGGCAAAAACGAACGCTCTTAGTAATTCTTTTCAAATCAAATGTAATTTTAAGAAAATACCACATTATGGCCACTAGATGGAGCTGAGGAGCACAGGATATAAGTATGTATTATACCACATTATGGCCACTAGATGGAGCTGAGGAGCACAAGAAATAAGTATGTATTATACCACATTATGGCCACTAGATGGAGCTGAGGAGCACAAGAAATAAGTATGTATTATACCACATTATGGCCACTAGATGGAGCTGAGAAGCACAGGAAATAAGTATGTATTATACCACATTATGGCCACTAGATGGAGCTGAGGAGCACAGGATATAAGTATGTATTATACCACATTATGGCCACTAGATGGAGCTGAGGAGCACAGGAAATAAGTATGTATTATACCGCATTATGGCAACTAGATGGGGCTGAGGAGCACAGGAAATACATCTATTGTTTACAGCGTTTCTCTGGATGAATGGCTCCGTGAATTGTTTATAAATGCAGCACTAAGTGTGAGAGACCCTAAACTGTACGCAAAAATCTTTAGTCTCAGGGTTGGGCTGTGACACTTTCCCATGTTACCGGCTTCGGGAAACTTTGTTTCCATTTCACAGTGAAGAGCGGTGTGGAAACCCCTCCCCCGATTTACAGGCACCTGGAGGTTGTTCGAGGTCACCGCAAACTGCTGAAGGATTTTGCAGGAGTAACTGTTTGTGGGCATCAAGCGGCGTAACCAACGCAACGCTTTATGTGGTGTCGAATCTTTGCCAGCCGGAGCCGCGGTCCTTCAGTTTAGTTTAAGTCATCGTTAAAAGTGTCTGAATTCATCTTATTTATACAAAGCGAGAAAAGAGGGACCTGCGGGGACCGGCAACGAGGCTGAAGGTGACCAGGGAACAGGAGAAGCAGATAAAAGGCAGAAACAGCCCTTCTCTTCTGATGGAAAGTTCTCTTCTGATGGAAAGTTCTTAGGGCCGGGGTGGACAAATGCATATGGAATTCAGGAGCCAATCAGCCCAATCCAAGCCGGCAAGCCAGCTCCATTGACAACTACAGAAAACCTCAAAAGTGAGACCCTAGCATTGGCTCCCCGGCTCCTGGGATTTGTTGGGTATTTTCTCTTCCAATGGAATGTTCTTAGGATATCTTCTCTTAAGATTATAAGGAGAACTATGGGGTCAGTGTTTTTCCCCATAATTCACCCCAGGGTCACGGGAGGACATATACTAGCGTCCTCCCGTGATATGAGAAGTGAGCGACGGTATGTGTTCGCTCACTTCCCGATCTAACACAGAGTAGAGGCTGTGACAGCTCTTGTCCTCACCAAGTTAGGTTACACAAGCAGTGGGGAGGGAAGCCCGCTGCTGTGTAACCTAACTACCTGTCAAAAGCCAGATGCAGCGCCGCCTGTAATTAACATGCAGATCTCTGTACATGACAGGTTACACGGCGGGGAGGATTTCCATGCTGTGTAACCTGTAACAAGCCGTCTGAATGGAGAAAAAGCTGTCAGCTTCAGACCCGAAGCCGACTCCTTTTTTCTTCATGATACTAGGTGAGGCTCTGCCTCCCCTGACAGCACGTCCCTGGCGTGCATGTGTGTATATGAGACCCTTGGGGGTCTAAGGTTTTAAGAGTACCTGTACCCCTGCATGTTATGGTCTCTGAGGAAGGTATCTAATTGATTTTTGAATGATTCAATACTCTCTGCTGATACCGCTGCTTGTGGGAGAGAGTTCCAAAATCGAATCGCTCTGACTGAGAAGAAGCCCCTACACCCCTTTGTGGTTAAATCTTTTCTCCACCAGTTTTAGGTGGGGGCCTCTGGTCCTTGTTGGGGAGTTAACAGTAAAAAGTTTATTGCCGATGTTGCCATCACCACTAAACATTTTGTACATCAAAATCACGTCCAGTTAACACATTCTAATGACATTCAGTTTGACAACGTTGGAATAATCGGGATTCGTCTGCATGTGACTTGTACGTTGGTCTTCTCCCTGCAGAAGGCAATTGTAATTTCACAAGATATCATTTCACACACATTATAAACCATCGGGAAGAAGATTACTTGTTACTTTTGTACTGACACATTCGCACGGCCGATTCTTTTATAAACAGCCCCCCCGATTCCGACGGATGGGATAGACACGGACGGGGTCGTCGCGTTCATCTCGGGGCGTAAATACCAAAACGCATTGCCGGTCTATTGGCCCGTTTTTCGGAGAGCGCTCCTTCCCGGAGTTCCTTACGGACACGTGCGGATTGTTCTTTCCTTGCGGATTGCTTCCCATTCGCTGCTCTCCCTCCGCTGACTTGTTTACTCTCCGGAGAGAAAAGAGAGAGAGAGAGATTCCAGACATTGCTGCGAGAATCCCAGTCAGCACAGTTGGTGCATACGGCGCACAGCTTTCCCCTCCGAACCCACCCAGTCATTACCCAGCTCATAAAAGGGATCCGGCGAAAGACAACAGGAAACCAGGAAAAAGATGGATTTTCGCCACGCACCCAAGGAATTCTTTTTCTTCTTCTATAGCAACAGCGGAGGAAGAATGTAAACTTACCGACGCAGGACGGAGCGCGGGCCGATAGATCACACTGACGGGATGTTTAAATGCTCATAAAGACTTTCGCTTCGCCGCTACTTTGTGGTTTTGTTTTTTTAACAGTTCCGTTTTGTCATTTTATGGTTTCTTTTTGCACTTTTTTTTTTTGTTGAACCGAGCGATCGGATCTTGGCTTCCATCTTGGGATTTCGGCCATCAAAACACACACAGGGTGCGATTTGTCATCTTGGGGGGGGGAAAAAAAGCTCCCTGCGGGAAGTGAGTATGTTCTCCGACTTTTCCTTCACTTTTCCAGGAACTTGGGAAGCGAATTCTTCGAGGAATTCTGGAGATTGACAGGAGAGAACAGGAAGCAGAGTTTAACCACCGAGACGAATGGAAAGGTTTACGGTCCCGTCCCCCCCCAGTGTGCCGTGAAAGTGAGCAGTGGGGGGAATTCTTCTTCGGAAGATCAAAGGGATTGGAAAATTCTCAATAGTTTTAGAACAGAACGTGGCAGGTTTTTGACCTTTGGGGTGTTTTTGAAATTCGGCCTCGGGATCGTGAAGTATGTTTTTATACATTAAAGTTACACTGAACTCAGGAGTTAAATCTTAAAAATGCATTCCAGTACTTGATACGTCGGAAAAACGGACGCATGTGTAATATTAATGGCTACACGTTCCAGTATTAGACACAGAGGAAAAAAAAGTTTGCTGAGTGAGGTGCGTGCCCGCCGCTTATGCGAATCAGACGCAAACCAACAATTCTGCGCTGTCCCTTTTACAAAAAGTGCGCTACAAAGTATCTGTTTTGTAAATGAAATTAAAATGAACATTCCATTAACGTGACGCTAAAGTCAGGCGTTAAATCTTGAAAATACATTCAAGTACCTGAACTAATAACAACAATGTATCTTATTTGTGTATCACTCGGCTGTAGATCCTCCAATCATCTCTGAATTGGTGCCGACACTGTCCTTCCTTCTGGAGGGGGGGCTACTTTGTAGCGCACTTTTTGTAAAAGTGACATCTCAGAATTGTTGGATTGCGTCTGATTTGCCAAGCGGCGGGCATGCGCCTCACTCAACAAACAATTTTTTTGTTCTCTGTGTCTTAGGCCCCATTCACACTGAGCGTATCGCAAATCGCGCATTTGTCGCGCGATTGTCATTTTGCGCGAAAGTGCGCGGTTTGCCGGTCGCATTGAGCAAAGTAGAATGGCGCCGAAATCCGCTCCAAAAAGGGTCCTGTTGTAGTGAGGCGCGACAGCAACGTAGAGAGCCCCATTGACATACATTGGAGAGCGATATCGCACTGTAAATATGCGCGATATCGCGTGGATTACCGCGCGATAAAACGTTCAGTGTAAATGGGGCCTTAATACTGGAACATGTATCAATATTGCACACGCGTTGGTTCTTCAGAAGTATCAGGTCTAAGGTCCAGTTCACCCTCAGCGAGCCAAAGCGTGCACATTGACTCACATTCATGCAATGCAGGAAGAAGCGCGAAGCGCATGTGACGCCGTTACTTGTTGGGCTCCGTTCACACCTCAGCGTTTCCTTAATGTCACCATAAGTGCATTTTGTTTGGTTTGCGCATTTTGCTAACGCGCGTCCAAAAATTATTTTTTTCTGCTTTTGACGCGCATCAGCATTTTGCCTTGCTTCTTTTTTGGACCTTGCTGTAATAAATTCTTCGTATCAAGGTCCCCGACCTTATCTCTTATCCGACATAGCTCATCCATCTTGTAGCCTTTTTCAGCAAATCTATCAACAAGGACCTGAGATTGTGAATAAAAATCTTCTAGGTTGGTACAATTTCTCCTAATGCGCATGAGCTGTCCTTTAGGGATAGCTCTCAGCCATTGTGTGTGGTGACAGCTTTGGATTATTATTATTATTATACAGGATTTATATAGCGCCAATAGTTTGCACAGCGCTTTACAATATAAGGGAGACATTACAATTACAATACAATTCAAGACAAGATGGTGAGGAGGGCCCTGCCCCTGAGGGCTTACAATCTAAAAGGGAGGGGCCAGTGATACATGAGGAGGTGGATAGGAATGTATCCATTCTTGTCAGTGGGTTTGAAGTATGTTTTTGTTTTCCAACCATTTAGATCCTTAGTAATCTCCAAATCTAGGAAATACACTGTGGATTTGTTAATGGTGGTTGTAAACCGTAGATTATATTCATTATTATTTAGACAACTTATAAAATTTTCTAGGGAGGGTAATGTCCCTTCCCAAATAATGAAAATATCATCAATGTAGCGTTTCCAGAGTTTTAATGATTCTATGGGTTTACTAAGAATGTGCTCTTCTTCCCATTGTGCCATGTATAGGTTAGCCATACTGGGAGCAAATTTGGCTCCCATGGCTACACCCTTCTCTTGTAAATAAAAATTATTTTGGTACCAAAAGAAGTTTTTAGTCATGGCAAATTGGAGGCATTCAAGAATATAATTAATTTGTTTGTGTCTAAGGCAGTGGTTCTCAACCTTCCTAGGGCCGGGACCCCTTGGTAACATTTGCCAAGTTGTGGTGACCCCCAAAGGTAAAATTTAGGGATGACGCGGCTGCTGCAGCGACATCTGGAAAATGGAAATGAAAATGGAATTCATAGCTAGAGGTGTGTTTAACATATTTTGTTGCTTGAATACATACATATTGCACCCGCCCTCTGCTGCTGTCAATCACTAGAAGGGGACCTGATGGAGAACTTCAGGTCCCCCTCTGCTGATTGGCAGCATCAGAGGGCGGGTGCAATAGCTAGTTTGCTATTGGCTTTTGCAAAGTGAAATAGCCAATAAGAATTTAGCTATGCATTCCTATGGTGTTTTTTTTTTTTTTTCTGACTTCCGGCGGCCCCCGATTTTTCCGGGAGAAAGTGTTTCTCTCCCGACGGCCGAGAGCCACTAGGCGACCCCTGGCAAATCGTCATTCGACCCCACAGGGGGTCCCGACCCACAGGTTGAGAACCACTGGTCTAATGTCTCCATATTTGTCAAATGCCCACTTAATCGCTCTAAGCCCTTTTTTCATGAGGTATACAAGTGTAAAGAGAGGCTACATCTCTGGTGGCTAGTAATGTGTCTTTGTCGTTATTTTCCGTTAATCTAGAAAGTGTATTTAGCATATCCCTGCTATCTTTTAAATAAGCTTCCGTTTTAATTACCAAGGGTTGTAAGTAATAATCAATACATTCCCCTAGTCTTGCTGTAAGGGAATCTATTCCGCTAATAATAGGTCTTCCTGGTGGTTTTTCCTTGTCTTTGTGAATTTTGGGAAGGAAATAAATCGTCGGCACTTTGCAAACAGAGGGTAACAAGTAGTCTTTTTCTTTCTTCGTTAGCAATTCTTTTTTGTGTCCTTTGTTGATTAATATCACCAGTTCCTTTTTAAAATCGTAAGTAGGGTTTTTCTTTAATAGTCGATAAGTATTTTTAGTTTCTAAGATGTTTCTCATTTCTTCTTCGTAATAATTTCTGTTCATCACGACCACCCCTCCCCCTTTGTCAGCAGGTCTGATCACAATATCTGTTTTATCCTCAAGGGATTCTATACCTCTACTGATGAATTCTTTATTCTTTGTATATTTAATTTTTAGGGATCTCATGTCTTCTTCCACCAAATGAAGTGGTTGGAATTATATTTGGGGTAAAAAACTGAATTGTTCCTTGAGGGGGTTTGTGTGTATTTTCTTTCTTGGGTGGTAGTGGCATTAGAAGAGGTAATGTTGGAGGTAGAGGAATAATATTTCTTTATATTTAATTTCCTAATTAATTTTTATCTGTATATAATATATACAGATATATGCGGTACCATATATACAGATATATACGGTATAATATATACAGATATATGCGGTACAATATATACAGATATATACGGTATAATATATACAGATATATACGGTACAATATATACAGATATATACGGTATAATATATACAGATATATACGGTACAATATATACAGATATATACGGTATAATATATACGGTACAATATATACAGATATATACGGTATAATATATACAGATATATACGGTATAATACATACAGATATATACTGTATTATATACAGATTATAACGTACAATATATACAGATATATACAGTATAATATATACAGATATATACGGTATAATATATACAGATATATACGGTACAATATATACAGATATATACGTTATAATATATACAGATATATACGGTATAATATATACAGGTATATACGGTAGGGTTGCCATGGCTTATTCATATGTAAATAGTGCCACCCATTCATAGGTAAATATCACAGTCGAGACTGTACAGTGAAGGGCCAGTAGCCTCTATCTTAATTTTGGTCGCCCCTGTCTGCCTGACATCTTGTGTCCGGGTTTCAGCTGCCATGAAACCCGGACACAGCATATAAAACCTGAACTGTCCGGGTGAATCCCGGACAGGTGGCCACCATATCCGGGGGCCCGGGGTGACTCATGGACACCCTGTACTGTCTATGAGGGGAGATTTTTGGCCACATTTGTATCTTCTTTTACCTGAAACTGACATAAGAGTCTCTGCTGTGATCTTTGCGGATGAATTACTTCACAGTAAAGACAGCGGCGGAGGTCAGGGGGGGCGTCTGTGCGGGCTATTCGGCCATGATGCCGAGATTGCGTTTTTACAAGTCCGTCTCCTTTTAGGTTGAAGGGTTCAAAGGAAAGCTTGAGGAATATCTATGAATAGCTCCCCTCACATCTCCGAATATATTAATAGAACCATTTTCAGTATCTATATCTAAACATTCGGCAAGAAATCTCAGAGGAATGGCTTCCTAGGAAGAAGGGGGTTAACCCTTTCATGAGCAGAGGTCTTTGATACCTAGACGCCCCGGCTACAATCTAGCACGCATCAGCTGACCTGGCAATAACTCCACGACAAATTTGCATTCCTAAATATTTTTTTATATATTTATTTAAAGTCATTTCAGGTTTTTTTATTTGAGAAACTGTTTCATTTTTGGTTTTTATATTATGACAAATACAAACAAAATGTCAAAATAATTCTTATAACATTTCTTGTTTTTTATTTACTACTGTAATTGGATGTGATGATTTCAATATTAAATAGGTGGCACTGCAGATACGACTTGAGCCTGTAGGTGGCAGTGTCCATCCGCAGGCTTGTCAGTGAAGCCTCTGGCTTGCCTGTGATTGCTGTTACATTGTGATCACATTAAAGGGGAACTGATT